ACTGCTAACCACAATCCTATCTATAGATTATGGATATGGTATGAAGGAATCTTTCCAGAAGGCATTCTTTCTGCTTAAACACGATCAGATCCCCACCTAAGTCATGTACCCCATGCCTACTTCATGGATCAAGACCCTTTCACATGTAACTAGAGTTGTAAGCTCAAACCCTTTCATATGTAATTTCTAGAGATGTAAGCCTTTAAAAGGGCAAGAATTTTCTTTGTTGGGGAGCTCATTTATTCAGCATCTATGCCACTGCAGCCCCGAGCAAATAAAATACCACTTCCTTCCCAGTTCAGTGTTTGAGAAGTTTCTTTGCGACCCCTCCTACTTCAGTAATACTAAGAGATGTCCTAATGGATCTCCTGTATTCCATGCTGACTCTTCCTTATCTCTGTCATGGAGTAGTAGATTGATTTCATCTTGATAGTTCAGGTCAATCATCCCCACCCACACTGTAACTCCCTTCTTAAGACTGTTGATTTACAGGTAGGAGGAGTCCAAAGTGTCCAGGTAGCAATCTTAATTTCCAGTTTAATTGAATCATTGTTGTGTCTCCTGGTGGCAGTGTTCTTCCCTCTGGGACTAAGACCTCTAGGTCAACAGAACACAATGTCATGGGAACAGGAAGCAAAATTTTGCTAGTAGATCACTAGGGGTGATGGTGGGTGGTGCCATTTCCACTTCCACCCCTTGATTCCTGGACCCATTAATCCTGGCTATGGAAGAAACAGTACCGTATATTAAGTGCTGATTCAGAGCATTCAGAGGCAATGCTGTGTGGAATACCATGACGGTGGATAAGGCATTCATGAGTCCATGGATGGTAGCCTTGACAGAAGCATTGAATGCAGGATAGACAAAGCCATATCTGCAGTAAGTGTCTATTCTAGTGACGACAAACCTCTGCCCTTTTCATGATGGAAGAGGTCCAATATAATCAACCTGCCATCAGGTAGCTGGCTGATCACCCTGAGGAATGATGCCATATTGAGGGCTCAGTGTTGGACTCTGCTACTGGCAAATTGGGCATTCACCAGTGGCCATAGTCAGGTCAGCCTTGGTGAGTGGTGGTCCATGTGCTGAGCCCATGTGGAACCTCCATTCCTGCCACCATGGCCACTTTGTTCATGGGCCCACTGGGTGATGACAGGGGTGACTTGGGAAAGAGGTTGAGCGGTGTCCACAGAACAGGTCACCCTACGCACTTGATTATTAAAATCCTCCTTTGCTGTGGCCACCCATTGGTGAGCACTCACATGGGATACAAATATCTTCACAGTTTCTGGCCACTCAGAGAAGTCCATCCACATACCACCTCCCAAAATATCTTTGTCACCAATTTTCCAATCATGCTTCTTCCAAGTGTCTGACCATCCAGCCAAACACCATTGGCTACAGCCCATGAATCAGTATATAATCACACATCTGGCCATTTCTCCTCCCATACAAAGTGCACAATCAGGTGCACTGCTTGAAGTTCTGCCCACTAGAAAGACTTCCCTTCACCACTGTCCTTCAGAAATGTCCTAGAAAGGGGCTGTAGTGCTATGGCTGTCCAGTTTTGGGTGGTACCTGCATATTGTACAGAACCATCTGTGAACCAGGTCCTATTTTTCCCTTCCTCTGTCAACTGAGCCTAGGGAATGCCCCATGAGACTACTGGTGCAGGCTGGGGGAGAGAAGCCATGGTGGGAGTGAAGAACATGGGCATTTGAGCCACTTCATCATGTAACCTACCTGTGCCTTCAGAACCTGCTTAAGCCCAATCACATTATATACCACCTCCATTTGATGATGGAATGCTGCTATGCACCACCCACTTCATGGCTAGATGGGTCAGAAAGCATCCAGTTCATGATAGGTAGTTCAGGTCCTATGGTGACTTAATGACCCATAGTCAGTTTCCACCACCGCCCAGTAATAGTCCAAGAGCTATCTCTCAAAAGGAGAGTAGTTATCTGCAGAAGATGGCAGATAACTTGCTCAAAACTCCTAGAGTCCTCTGCTGTGATTCACTTATGGGGGCCTGCCAAAGGCTCCAAACAGCATCCCTATCTGCCACTGACATCTCAAGCACCATTAGATCTGGTGGGTCATATGGCCCAAGTGGCACAGCAGCTTGTACAGCAGCCTGGACCTGTTGCAGAGCCTTCTCCTGTCCTGGACCTGACTCAAAACTGGCAGCCTTTTAGGTTACTCAATAAATGGACTGGAGTAACACACCTAAATGAGGTATGTGTTGCCTCCAAAATCCAAATAGGCCCCCTAGGCATTGTGCCTCTTCCTTGGTTGCATGAGGGGCCAAATGCAGCAATTTATCCTTTACCTTAGAAGGAATATCTCAACAGGCCACACCACTGGACCCCTAGATATGTTACTGAGGTAGAAGTTCCCTGAATTTTAGTTGGATTTATTTCCCATCCTCTGGCATGCAAATGTCTCACCAATAAGACCAGTGTGTTTACTACTTCTTGCTCACTGGATCTAATCAGCATAATGTCATCAATGTAGTGGACTTCTTGCAGAAGCAAAAAGTGATCAAGGTCTCTCTGAATAAGATTATACCACAAAGCCAGAGAGTTGATATACCCTTGAGGTAGAACAGTAAAAGCATATTACTGGCCTTACCAGCTGACAGCAAGTTACTTCTGGTGGGCCTTATGGACAGGAATGGAGAAAAATGCATTTGCCAAGTCAATGGTGGCATACCAGGTTCCAGCAGATGTATAATTTGCTCACTCGATGAAACCACATCTGGTACAGCAGCTGCAATTAGAATCACCACTTGGTTTAGCTTACAATAATCTACTGTCATTCTCCAAGACCTATCCGTCTTCTGGAGAGGCCAGGAAAGTTGAACAGGAATCAGCGGACCCACTGTAAGTTGGATCTGAGCTAAAACTCATTAATTATCTGACTTCCATAAGCCCCTACTTCAACTGGAGGACCACAATGACATTTTGGGTCCCCTAGAATCAATGTGAGCTCAGAGTCAGTGTCTAACAGTCCCTGAAATGTCTGATCATTTCCCCTTCCCCAGTGCACAGTTACCCTGGTAAAAGGCTGGAGGTCTCCTTGAGGAAGGATGGGAGAAAGATTCACTGCACAAATTGTCAGTAATGTAGTGGATCCTTCCTCAAGGGGATCTGGCCTTCCCTTCATTCAAGGGATTCCAGGTCTGTAAACTGGCTCAAGTCTAGAAATTGATTGAGGGGGCCGTGATTCTCTGTTTTTACAATTCAAATTAGTATTTTGTCCATTCAACCTAGAAGTTTTCTGCTTGTATATATTAAGTAGAAATGCAGTAGGCTTCCTGTCAATTTCACTTATAGGAACACCATAATTAATTAGCCAATACCAGAGCTCTACATAAGTCAGACTATTCTGATTGCTGCTTTGCCTTTGCTGTCCATTACAGTAGCTATGTCTGCCTTGCCTTTAATGGTTGAGTGCTGCCACTTGGCCCCTGCCACCTCTCTCTCTAGAGAAAGAACTCTACAGGAGACAAGACTCTTCCTCAGGGCAATCTTAGCAGATTTGAGGCTCAGTATCTGCTTCTGAAGCTGGGAGACAGAATCCCTGAGTTCATCATTGTCTTTCACCACTTTGTCCAAAGAGCAACCAGCTAGCTTCTTTATGTTCCTTGGTTCTCCACACATGGTCAAAGGAATTATGTACAGAGTCATAAACTCCTTGCCTCTCATGAGCAATGTGTCAAATGCATTTATTTTGCATAACTCTCTAAACAGTTCATGCCAAGGACTATCAGTGTTCTCCATATTATTAGAAGTACAGTCCTTAGCATTTTTGGGTCAAATCATATTAAGTAGCCAAGTACAGGAACCCCAAAACCAATGAAAAAACTCCATTTTTAATATTCTCTTCCTCTGGAACCACTCCTGGTACCAAAATCTGTTAGGGTTCTCAAAGGGAAAGGACTAATGGAATATATATATACTTCATAAACCACCCTTTATATACATACATATGTATATACACACACACATATATATATACATATACGTACACACATACATACACATATATATATATATAAAGTGTAGTTTATTAAGTATTAAATCACATGATCATGAAGTTCCACAACAGGCCATCTGCCTGCTGAGGAGCAAGAAGAGCCAGTCCGAGTTCCAAAACTAAAGAACTTGGAGTCCAGTGTTCAAGGGCAGGAAGCATCTAACATAGGAGAAAGATGTGGCTGGAAGGCTAGGCCAGTCTTTTCACATTTTTCTGCCTGAGACAGAGTAGGAAAGGGGCTTGGCTTTAGCTCAACCCCACTAGAGCATTCTTTCACACATATCCACTGATCAGAAAACCACACCACTACCTCACTGATGCCATACCTACTAAGCCCAAGGCTTTAGTCATACTAAGAAAATAGCCATTCTATATATTGTTCTTCTTTGTTCTCATAATGTTTAACCATATCTTTTACATAAAGAATTCCAGGAACTAGAATCTGCACAGGCTCTTTTCAAAGAGTCAATAAGGAAATTCTCTCTCTTGTGCTGCCTCCCTTATGCCTGTGCATAAGCTCCAATGAAGTTTTCTTGGGGAAAACTCTTTGAGCCTTATGTCAATTTCTAATGCATTGAGAGGCCAAGAACCCATAGTTTGTAACCAACCTAGGCAATGGAGTGTGAACTCCCTGGAAAAATTTTTAAGAAAAAGAAAAGGCAGAACTTGGTGTAAGAACCAGGTTCCAGGAGGAGAGAAGGGTGTGTCTTACATTAATGAATTCAATTTGGGATTTTAAATAATTATTCTTTAACATAGTCCCCAAATCCCTCTCTAGATGCCTCTCCTTTGCTTAGTGAAACCTGTCAATGGAGTTTGCTGAAAGATCAGCCAAAGGACAGGATCACAAAAGGCAGAGTAGTGAGACAAAGAAAGAGCTAAACGGTTTAGTCTACGTAGTAAAGAATCTGGAGTTTCCTGAAAAACTTTCAGGTAGAGGGATAGGACCTTGCAACCCAGCAAACTGGGAAAGTGGGGCTGGGGAGATGAGAGTGACTGAGGAAATGAGAACAAGGAAGTCTAATTATTGGTGCTCACTTATCCTCCTTACCACTGCCCCTGTCCACCTGCCTCTGCCACTGCCTCCAAAGCTTTTCAGTAAAGCTTGTGTAGTCCACCTACACAACTACCATATGTTAGTGATAGTCTGTGGAAATTTAAAACAACACCAAAACCAATGCTATATCCCACCTTAGTTGGGAAGAAAAGAGATGGAAACAGGAGGAAGGAAAAAGTGAGATGGAATTTAGTAGGGGCACAGGAAACAAAAGGCAAACACCAGGAGAATTCATAGAAATAGAGGAAGAAGGGGATGGAACTCTAAGTACTATCATTTTAGTATGGTGTGGCCATCCCCCCCCCCCACACACATACACATACATAAGGCAGGTGAGCTGGAGTCATTTCAGAGCCTGAAGTATGATTGTGTTAAATCAAGGTGTCTCTAAACCAGCTTGAAATCCTGAATGGATTCCCTACCGTAAGGGGCTCCTTTCCCTCACCATGTCAACTCAGGACCCACCCCAAGTGTAACAGCACTTCCTCATGCTGTTCTGTCAGAGGCCTTATGCTTCCAAAGCAAGCTTTGCCCTCCGCATTCACATGAATTTTTATTGCATTGACTGTTTTTCCTTTATTGATTTTATGAGGCTTTAAATCCTTTATAGAATACAAGTCCTTTGCCAAGTGTATATTCTGCAAATATCTACTTCAACTGTGTAGTTTGCCTTTGCTCCCACTATGGTGTCTTTTGAGAAACAGCAGCTCTTATTATTCTTGTAGCCCAATTTTTCGATGTATCAATAAAGTATGATGAGTAGCTTTTAATGAAGTCTTTGCCAACCCCAAAGTCATAAAGATATTCTCCTATGCTTTCTTCTGAAAGCTTTATTAATCTTTTACATTAGGTCTAAAATCCTTCCTGTGATTTTGCAAAGAAGAAATGTTCTGGACACATTTATTTTACTCTGATTGACATAGCACCATTTATTGAGAAGACCATACCCATTGCACTATAAAATACCTTTATTAAAAAAAAATCAATGCTATTCTATTTCTGGATTTTTCTATTCTGTTATCTGATCAGTTTGTCTATCTGTGCTATTACCACACTGTCTCAATTATGATCACTTTAAGTCTTAGTATCTAGTAGTAATATCTACAAATGTTCTTCAAGAATACCTTTGTGGCAGACTTGTTTTTATATATATTTCAGAATCAGCTTTTTTTTTTTTTGAGGTGGAGTCTTGCTTATTGCACAGACTGGAGTGCAAATGCTGTGATCTCAGCTCACTGCAAACTCCGCCTCCCAGGTTCAAGCAATTCTCCTGTCTCAGCCTCCCAAGCAGCCCACCACTATGCCAGCTAATTTTTGCATTTTTAGTAGAGACAGGGTTTCACCATATTGGTCAGGCTGGTCTTGAACTCCTGACCTCATGTGATCCACCCGCCTTGGACTCCCAAAGTGCTGAGATTACAGGTGTGAGCCACCATGCCTGGCCAAATCAGCTTATTTTTATATAAACCTGCTGGGAGTTTGATTAGGATTAGATTAAATCTACGAATTTGGGGAGAACTAAAATTATTACAATATTGAGTCTTCTAACCCATTAACATGATATAACCCTCCATTTATTTACAGCAACTTCAAAAGGTTTTTTACATCTTTTATCAGATTTATTCTAAGATATTTCATATTTTGTAAATAGTATCATCTTCCTCATTTCATTTTTTGTTATTTTGTTGCTAATATTTAAAAACTTGATTTTTGTATGTTGATCTCATTTCACAAAATTGTTAAATTTACCTATAGTTATTCTATATTAATAAGCATTTTTTTCCATTTTTAATTCAACAGCTTTAAGGATACAAGTGGTTTTTGGTTACATGGATTAATTGTATAGCAGAAAGTCTGAGAGTTTAGTGTACCTGTCATCTGAGTAGTGTACACTGTACCCAACATGTAGTATTTTATTCCTCATTCTCATTTTCCCCTTCCCCCTTCTGAGTCTCCAATGTCCATTCTACCACACTGTTTGCCTTTGCATACCCATAGCTTAGCTCCCATTTACAAGTGAGAAAATACGATATTTGGTTTTCCATTCCTGAGTTACTTCACTTAAAATAATGACCTCCAGCTCCATCCAAGTTGCTGCAAAAGACATCATTTCATTGTTTTCCATGGCTGAGTAGTTCTCAGTGGTATGTATGTATATATATATATACACACACATATATATACACCATGTTTTCTTTATCCATTCATCAACTTATGAACACTTAGGTTGGTTCCACATCTTTGCAATTGTGAATTGTGCTGCAATAAACATATGTGTGCAGGTGCTTTTTGTTTGCTTGTTTTTAAAATAATGAATTCCTGTTTGGGGGGTTGATATATAGTAATGGGTTTGCTGCACCAAATAATAGATCTACCTTTTTTTTTTTTTTTTTTTTTTTTTTGAGACAAGGACTCAGTCTGTCACCCAAGCTACAGTGCACTGGCACGAAAAGGCTCACCGAATCCACTACTTCCTGGGATCAAGCAATCCTCCCACCTCAGCCTCCTGAGTAGCTGGGACCATAGGCTGGCAACATCAGGCCTGGCTAACTTTTTATTTTTTTGTTTTTTTTTTTTAGTGACAAGGTCTCATCATGTTGCCCAGGATGGTCTGGAACTCCAGGGATCAAGGAATCCTCTTGCCTTGGTCTCCCAAAATGCTAGGATTTGAGGCATGAGCCACCAAAATGCTAGAATTACAGGCGTGAGCCACCACACCTGACCTAGATCTACTTTTATTTCTTCGAGAAATCTCCATACTATTTTTAGAGGTTGCACTAATTTATATTCCCACCAGTAGTGTATAAGCATTCATGGCTGGGTGAGGTGGCTCATGCCTATAATCCCAGCACTTTGGGAGGCTGAGGTGGGAGGATCACTTGAGCCCAGGAGTTCAAGGTTGGCCTGGGCAACATAGTGAGACCCTGTCTCTACAAAACAAATTTTTTTAATTAGCCAGGCATGATGGCGCATATCTGTTGCCCCAGCTACTTGGGAGGCTTAGGTAGGAGCACGACATGAGCCCAGTGGTTTGAGGCTGCAATGAGCCATGTTCATGCCACTGCACTCTAGTCTGGATGACAGAGAGAGATCCTATCTCAAAAAAAAAAAAAAATTATTCCCCTTTCACTACATCAATGCCAACATTTATTGTTTTTTGACTTTTTAATAATGGCCATTCTAGCTGGGGTAAGATGGTATCTCACTGTAGTTTTAATTTGCATTTTCCTGATGATTAACGACATTGAGTATTTTCTCATTTTTGTTGGTCATTTGTACATCTTCTTTTGAGAAATATCTATTCATGTCACTTGCTCACTTTTTGATGGGATTATTTGTTTTTTTCTTACTGATTTGTTTGCATTCCTTGTAGATTCCGGATATTATTATTTGTTGGATGCATAGATTTCAAATATTTTCTCCCATTCTGTGAATTGTTTGTTTACTCTGATTATTGTCATGCGGAAGCTTTTTAGTTTAATTAGGTCTCATTTATTTACTTTTGCTTTTGTTGTATTTGCTTTAGGGGTCTTAGAAATAAATTCTCCACCTGGTAATGTCTACAAGAGTTTTTCCTAGGTTTTCTTCTAGAATTTTTATGGCTTCAAGTGATGATTTAAGACTTCAGTCCATCTTGAGTTGATTTTTTATATGATGAGAGAAAGGGATCCAGTTTCTTTCTGCTACATGTGGGTATCCAGTTTTCACAGCACGATTTATTGAATAGGGTATCCTTTCCCCAATTTATGTTTTTGCATACTTTGTCAAAGATCAGTTGGTTCTAAGTATGTGGCTTTATTTTCGGGTTCTCTATTATGTTCCATTGGTCTATGTATTTACTTTTATACAAGTACCATCCTGTTTTGGTTATTATAGTCTTATAGTATAATTTGGAGTTGCGTAATGTGATGCCACTAGATTTGTTCTTTTTGTTTAGGGTTGCTTTGGCTATTCAGGTTATTTTTAGGATCCATAACAATTTTGGGATCATTTTTCTAATTCTGTGAAAAATGATGTTAGTATTTTGACAGGAATTACATTGAATCTGTAGATTGCTTTGGGCAGTATGGTCATTTTCATGATATTGATCCTTTCAATCCATGAATATGAAATATATTTCCATTTTTTGTGTCATCTATAATTTCCTTCAGCAATGTTTTATAGTTCTCCTTGTAAAGATCTTTCACCTCTTTGGTTAAGTATCTTCCTATGTATATCTTTCTTTTACAGCTATTGTAAAAGGGATTGAGTTTTTGATCTGATGCTCAGCCTGGTTGTTTTTTGTATATAGCAGTGAAACTGTTTTGTGTACATTGATTTTGTAAACTGAAACTTTACTGAATTAATTTATCAAATCTAAGAGTCTTTTGGAAGAATCTTTAGGATTTTCTAAGTACACAATCTTCTCATCAGCAACCAGAGATAGTTTGGCTTCCTCTTTTCCAATTTGGATGCCCTTTCTTACTTTCTCTTGCCTGATTGCTCTGGATAGGACTTTCAATAACTATAATTCTTATATTATTTCTGTGGTCTTTTGGATTTGTATAAGTACAACATGTTGCTGACTGAAAATTTCTCTTATTCCCACTTCTTTTCATATGTGGCAAATTAAACTGATTGATTTTTAAGTGGGAAACAACTAATATTGCATTCTTGAAATTAACCCTTACTTGTTGTAATGTACTAGTCTTTCTAGCTGGTAATTTTAAAAACCATTTTATTCTAGAAATTGGTCTATAATTTTCTTTTCTTGTATGTTTTACAGTTAAGATTACATTGGCCTTACAAAAAAGTAGGGAAGTATTTCATCTTCCTATTCTCTAAAATAATTTACATAAGATTGTTGTTATTTTTTTCATTTAACGTTTAAAAGAAATCACTGATGAAACCATTAAATCTAGAGCTTTACTGTGTGCAGGTTTTTACTTCTACGTTAGGTTTTTTAAAAAGATATATAAATTTTAATTTCTCTGTGCCCATTTTGGTAAGCTATGTTTTCGAGGGATTTCTCAGTTTCACCACAATTTTAAATGTCATAATTATTGATTATATTCCTTATTATCTATTCAGTATCTGTATAACTTGATGGATGTTTCATTTTTCCTTCTAATACTGAAAGTTTGTGTCTTTGCTTCTATTTATGATATCATGCTAAAGGACCTAGCAATTATATTGTTCTTTTCAAATAACACACTTTGGGTTTTGTTTATTTTCTCTAGTGAACATCTGTTTTATATTTTTCTGCTCCTATATTTATTCTACATTTTAATCTCCATAAAACATTAAATTATTGATTTATATTGTGAATATTTATTTACATTTACCCTCATATCATCTCTTTTCATATTTCCTTATTATTTTCTGTTTCCATGCTTCTGGTTGGACCATTTTTCTTTCGTCTGCAGAATTCCTTTTAGTATTTCTTTTAGTTCACATCTGCTAGTGATAAATATTTTCAGTCTTATTTATCTGGAAATGTCTTTAGTTTGCCTTCCTTTTTTTTCTTTTTTTTTTTTTTTTTTGAGATGGATTTTCACTCTTGTTGCCCAGGCTGGAGTGCAATGGCACAATCTTGGCTCACAGCAACCTCCACCTCCTGGGTTCAAGTGATTCCCCTGCATCAGCCTCCCGAATAGCTGGGATTACAGGCATGTGCCACCATGCCCAGCTAATTTTGTATTTTTAGTAGAGACAGGGTTTCTCCATGTTGGTCAGGCTGGTCTCGAACTCCTGACCTCAGGTAATCCGCCCACCTCGACCTCCCAAAGTGCTGGGATTACAGGCGTGAGCCACCACCCCCGGCCAGCCTTCATTTTCGAATAGCATTTTTCGTTGGTATAGAGTTCTAGATTGGCAATTATTTTCTTTCAGCGCCTTTTTCTTTTCTTATTTTATCTTTATTTTTCATTTTTTTTAGAAATGAGGTCTATGTTGCCCAGACTGGTCTCAAACCCCTGGGCTCCTGCCTTGGTCTTCCAAATAGCTGAGATTATAGGTGTGAGTTACCACACCCAGCTCTTTCAGCACTTTTAAAATGTTATTTAATTGTCCTCTATCTTCCATCATCTCAGTTGAGAAATGAATTTAAGTCTTTTGTTGCCTTTACAACTATTGTGCCTTTTTAAAATCTAACTACCTG